TGCCCTCAGTGTCCTCCCACGGCTTCAAATCAAGGCCCTTCCCCATCTCCGTTGCCTCCTTTGGACACTCTCTGATGGTTCAATCCCTTCCTTCCATTGTGTCCCCCCAAACTGCCCCAATGTTGAGGTGAGGCCACCCCAGGGCAGAGCAGAGCAGGACAATCCCCTCCCTTGACCAGCTGAAAGGCAGCAAAATACTGTCACCTCTCCACAAGCTGCTCTGCTTGACAGCATGGCAGCTTGAAGCATTTAGCCAAGGCTGAACACAAGGTTGGCTCAGTAACAAAAAGTAGAATATTGTTTCAACTGGCAGACAGAGTTGGGCCTTTCCTGGTTGCTCCCTCAATGCAGGGGTGTTGGATGAGCAGCAGGTTGTTCATGCTCTCCCTGGGCAGCTGTACCTGCCCACACTGGGGCTGTGCAGGGGCTGAGGTGCTGCCGTCTCTTCCCACCTCTGGTGGGAGGTCATTTCCTGTCTCCCTCGCCTCCATCATGGCTCTGCCCATCTTTGGGATGCTTGGAGCTCCTCTGAGCAGTTTAAGTCCCACACAAGCAGAGCTCTCCCCACTTCCTCAGGAGGAACTCATGCTCCTGTTGCCTGAGCCAAGCAGCAGGGTGGGCTGGGGAGGGAGAGGGACACTGCTGTGACGATGTGTCCTGGCCAAGGGGCTGCCTTCGGGGACTGGGAATGGACACAGCACTGCAGCTACTGCTCGTGGGAGCTGCTGGCTCTGAACCCTTTGGCTGCACATGGTACAACCATGGGAGATACACACCAGAGGTGCAGGCACAGACTGCAGCACCCTGAGGTTCCTGGCCTTGGTGTTTGCTCCAGGTGGGGAGCAGTCACAAAGCACTGATGGTGATGTTATAACTGTGCTGATGGGAGGAAAGAAACGAGAAAACTGTCAGAGTTCATCTTATCTGAGACTATCGTGCACGCTCAGGAACTGTGTGATTCAGTTGCCCTGCTTAGCCAAAAGCTAAAGAGTTTCTAAAGTTTATTTCCTGTCTGGCAACTGTCTGGCCCTTTATTTATTTTCACTGAAAGCTGCTGGTGTGCTAAAAATAATTTTTGAAGCAATTCTTGTGGCATATTGTATAACAATGGCAGGCTGAAGCCGGGGCAGTTGGGAAGTGAAGGATGCCTCCTTGGGCAATCTCTTCTTCTGAACTCCCATCATTTTTATTTTTATGCTTTGTGCTAAAGCATTTTCTGTCCCCTACCGTGGAGAAGAGCTGATGGCTCGCATTGTTGTTACCTTGAAAGGGCAAGTTATCACAGTTAATCCACCCTCCAAGGTTTTTCCTCAGGATAATTATTGTTGTGGTGATTCATCTTGCAGACCCTGCCCTTCCTTATTCGCACAAAATATCCTACTCCCTGCAATATTTCTGGGTCAGGCTCGTGCCACACATGTGATTTCCTCTTGGGCATGCAGACAAGACAAGATGGATTTAAAGGTCAGCCAGTGCTGGGCTGGCCAAGCTCGTCACTGGTGGCTTCGTGTGTCACCTACGGGTGACGGTGCAGGTGGGGATGGTTTGGGGCTGGACGGACACAGGGTGGGCAGGTGAAGTTCACTCGTGTTTCACGTGGGGTGGGGGAGCAGGGCCTCTGTTGTTGTGCTGGAAAATTTCACTGCTCCCATCTTTGGTGGAAAACATTATCACCAGCACATCCTGGCATGTAATTCTGCCTCATTTATTATTGTCTCATGTTGGCTTAGTGCTTATGGTGCATTTCTAAGGTACTCGGAGAGGGTTGTGGTTTTTCAAGGAAACATAACTCATGGGGGACAGGGGAGGGAGAATCCTGAGAGATTTTGGCACAAACTGAGTCAAATTTTACTGAACATGAAAAATAGAACCTGTGCAGGCTTCGACATGAGCTCTGCATGGCCCAGAGGCCACGGGGAAGGGAATATGCCCAGCAGGCAGGATTACCACGCAGGAGACCTGGGCTCTGCTTTTCCTGCCAACGTGCTTGTCAGAGGCTGTCTGTACATCCTATGCTCCCCAGTTTGGGTGCAAACCACCAGGTTTTGGGGCAGGCAGATGTTACCCAATGCCTGTAGCTGACTGAGCTCAGGTCCTGTCTCAGGATACAGAAACAGGATGAAACCCATTGATGGCACCAAAAAGGCGGATCACGAGCTTGGTCTGAGTTTGTTTGGGAGTTTTTTCCCCGCTTTCCCTGGTGTTTGTGCTAGAGAGATGGGCTCACAGCTCCTCAGCTTGTTTCGTGGCCTTCCCTGATGGTGTGACACAGCAGGATGGGGGACAACCACCAAAGGGAGCGAGCAAACCCCTACCAGGTGGTTCCATCATGCTGCCACTTGTGAGGCCCCTGGCACCAGCTGGTTCACCCCAGACCAGGACCAGTTCTTGCCTTTGCTGCTGAGCTGGGAAGCGCCACGACAGCCTCCAGTGCAGGACTGAACTTGGGGTGCCCCCAGCTTTGCTGCTCCCCCTGCCATGCTGAAAGAGCCTGCCCACAGCTCCTGCTGCAAGACTGCTGTGAAATGAAGCTACCACGTGTCTCACCTGAGGCAGAGCCGGTTGGTGGGATCAGTAAGGCAGCTCCAGGCCCAGAACGGCCGTTCCGAAGGGAAATGTGTAGGAGCAGGGAAATTGCATGCAATGCTGCTTTTAGCTAACACCAGGCACTTTGGTGGGGAGGTGCTACCACCAGGTTCACTTAATTTTACTTTATGTGCTTCGGAGGAAATCAAAGTCTTGAGTAAAGCACCTTTAGGGACAGTGGAAATAAGGGAGAAAAACCACAAGCTCCAACCTCATTTCTTTGTACCCTGAGTGTGTAAGTGAGGGTGGTGCAGGTGTCCTGCAGCCCTCCCAAGGGGTGGGAGTGAGGTGCAGGTGGTTCACAATACAGTGATGTGGTCTTACTAAACCCACCCCTTCTGCTCTTGTGATCTGGCTTTGCTCACACCAGAGATCTCCTTACTGAGCTCCTGAGCACCTGTGAATTCATCACACTCCTGGCACTGGGACACTGCTGGGTGTCTCTGGGAGCAGAGGCTGTGCCTCCTCCCTCTCCTTTAGCCAAATTCACCTGGTGAACTGGCAGTGTGTTTTAATGTCACCACAGCAGCACAATCCCTCAGCAGGACACTCTTCCCATCCCGGTGGAACACAACACCCGTCTCCAAACAGGGGTGTATCAGCGGCGGTATCAAGGAATGCCATCCAGCACGCCCAGTGACGCACACAAAGGGAAAACCGGCACAGGTACCAGCCAAGACAAATTGGGAACACGTTCCTCAGAGTCTGGACAGCTTCCTGCAGCCTCTACCTGCCAGCAGGGAGGTGAGAACAACCCAGGCTGCCATACCTGCTGACCAGCAGGCAGTTTGTGGGATCTTTATGGGCCAGAAGCGGTTCCTGGTGACTGATGTTACTGTTTTCAATACCAAATTCAATTTGTACATGATGGTAGTCTCACAACCCTTCCCTGCGTGGTACATGGTTTTGACCTCTTTCACGTGAAAAAACCCCAAATGGAATATTATAGGGACTTTTATTCT